AGGGGTAGTTTAGGTGAGGCCAGGAACGCACTCATCTGGGGTGCAAGATGTCACTACGCACCAAAAAACTCAGAAGTCAAGGTAAATATTTGAATGCAATACTGGGGGGAAAAAATCCAAATTAATTTAAAAATCCTTGATGGGGACGCTCAGTTGGTTACGCATCCTACTTTCAGCTCAGGTCGTGATCGCAGGGTTGGTGGGTTCGAGCCCCACGTCGGGCTCCGTGCTCACAGCTCTGAGCCCGGAGCCTGCTTCGGATTCTGTGTCTCCCTCTCTCTCTGCCCCACCCCCGCTCGTGCTCTGTCTCTCTCTGTCTCTCTGTCAAAAATAAACTTTAATAAATAAGGAAACAAAAATTCTTGATGAAAAAACTATTACCATTTTAAAAAAAAGAAAAAAAGGCAGGCTGCTGTTTACTTGTCTCATGGCCCTGTCTTCTACAACCTTGATAGTCGTTTCGAGTCAGCCCAAGGTCTCAAAGCCGTGTTGCCTTCTTGGCTGCTGCTGGGTGAGCTCATGAGGGGTAACCGTGAAGTAAAAACAAGCTGTGTGACACGGGGCTTTAAATGCAGTCATTTTGTTTGTGTGAGTGTGTGTGTGTGTGTGTGTGTGTGTGTGTGTGTGTGCAGTCAGTTTTTATTAGATTTTTCTACTGGAATCCAAATGTAGGAGAATATTTCAGTGAGTATGTGTACAGGTGCACATTTTTGCATGTTTCCTTCAATCTCGGGCTCCAATCTGGCTCTGCAAGGCAGGGGGAAGATCTAGGTACAGGTAAGGACCCTTCTCTCCCTCCTCCTCCACTAAAGGGTCTCTATGCAGGAGGTCTGGCCGTCTAGTTCTCTCTTGGGGCCCGAGTCATAATCCCCACACTACTCAGTTCAGAAACTTCTGGAGATATCAATTCCTTCTCCTTTTAAGTTGGAAATATATTAGTTGCTCTTACTAATGCCTTCATTATGGCTTCTTCATCCCCGTGTTTTGTTTACCTTTGTTTATAAACAAAAGAGAGTGATTTTTTTTTTTTTTATTCAGTGTATGTTTTTGGGTATTCCCATGAGCACTTACTCTCGTCCCCAGCCACTGGGGGACACACTGAGAATTCATAAATAAGTGAGCAAACAACCTGTCCCGAAGTCACTGGTCATTTACTGTGCTGGTCCGGGCACTGTTGGGTGGGGAAGGCAGGAGACAGAGGACAGAAAGTGAAAACACAACTACAATGCGGTGTCATAAGGGTCATGGCAGAGCTAAGCTCAGTGGCTCCAGGAACACAGAGGAGAAAGCTATTATCCCTGCCTTCATAGGCGGAGGGCAACCAGGAGAGGCCGGTGATGCCAGAATGAGATGGAATGTTGGCCATGTCAGCGGCCCCGGTGGACAGGGAGGGGGAGGAGGTAGACGGGCAGTGGTCTTCCTAAAATGCTCAAGGGGAAAATCGTTTCTGGAAAAGGCAGAGGAGCTGCCCGTGGAAAGCTCCGAGCAAGGGCAGGCCAGGTGCCTTTGGGACATGACACTGAGTCACTGTGTCTGGCCCCTGAAATAGGACGATGAAGCATTAGACCTTGGGATCCCCACCATGGAGATGACCTGTGCGGGGCGCTGAGCCCTGATGGGTCTCAAACCACGAAGAGCGACGTGGTCAGGTTTGTAGTCTCAAGTTTGCCTTGGGGGTCGCCGTGTGAGAGCGGGCGGGGCTCAGCCAGGGAGAGAGAGAGAGAGAGAGAGAGAGAGAGAGAGAGAAGCAGGCTGGCCCGGCCTGTTGGAGACAACATGCGCCATGCTAATGAGAGGAAATAGAAAATGTAATTAACATGTCTGCCACCAGAAATGAGAGCTAAATCTATTACTCTCTTCCTCCCGTTTCTATTATACGTTATTGTGTTTCAATTATGATTTTGAAAGTAGTTCCTTGAGGAAATATGTCAAGGTTCTGCAGTGGCAAAGAAGGAAATGGGACCATGAAAGTTTAATTGATTGCAGTGACTGCATTTAGAAAAGGAAGAAGAAAATGAAAAAGAGAAGAAAGGCAGAAAATTTGATAGTATTGCTGACAGGTCACCTGCTGTGAGCAGGCGGCGGGGGGGGGGGGGGGGGGTGAGCAAGAGAAACCCGAGTTGTCTGAATATTTATGGGGTCCCTTTATGGCGTGTGGGAAGGAGGGGCGAGCAAACACGATTCCTGCCGGCCAAGTGTGCCCTTCCATACTCCGGGGTCCTAGGAGTCTGCTCGGTTTTTCCCTGAAGACACTGTGAGGAAGGGTTTGAGGACAGTTTGAGGGGGAAGAGCAGTGTGGCTGTGAGTGCCGGGCTGGACACTGGGTTGGGGTGCAGGAGTGAGCAGAGAATGAGCGAGTTAGCCACGACCCTGCTCGCAAAAACCGTGCAGTCTAGCGGTGAGTGGCAGGGGCTGAGACTATGGGCAAGGAGGTGCGGACCGAGAGCATCTACTTGGGGTTGAAAGAGCAAGACTGCACTCATGGGAAGGTGGGGAGGCAGGCCAGCGAAATGAACAGGCTACCAGTCCCTGATTCGCATGCTAGCCAGTGACCCCTCTCGAGGGAGGGACACCCCGGTCGTCTTCAGAAAGGATGGATGGGTGCGTTCCAGGTACATTCATTTATTCATGTACCCACTCGGCAGGTAAGTGGGAATTTGCCCAAGAAAAAGCCCCAAGCCTTATCCTGGAGGGCTGCCTGGGCTCCTGGGGGGCAGACACATCAGGAAATAATTGCAAAGCGAGAAGGTCCAGCTAAGACAGCCATGCGTACAACGTAACACAGAGGTGTTCCCGGATCCCCTGCACAGAGCAGAGAATTATGTCCCGGAGGAAACCAGGAGATTTCCAAGAGAAACAAGGCTTTGAAACAAGTCTTAAAAGAGGGTGGGAGTTTTCCTGGTGGACTGATGAGTGAAGCGTGCAGAGAAGGGGTCCCAACAAAGCCACAGCCTGAGTCACACAAGTCAGGGAGACGGGAAGCAGAGTGGTGATTCCAGGGGGCCCAGGATTGGCGTGGTGGTGACAGGAGAGAATGATGGGAGAATCACACACTACAGAAACCAGGTCCAGAAGGATGCTGAGGACTGTGCCAGGGAGACTGTGTGTAATCTTGACCACGCTGGTGAGCTGGGGGGTGTTTGTAAGGGTGATACATGGGTTCCAGGAAGTCTACTCCAGAAACCCCATGGAGGGTGGTCAGGAGGGAACAGAAGGTGAACAGAAGCAGTCCTGGGGACAGAAGCCAGGAGGGGACAGAAGTTCCCAGACAGAGCCCGCCTGGGAAGCCACAGTAGAGGGATAGAGACATAGTGGGATCTGAGGAAGGGCAGTGACAGCATAACCAGAGGAGGGGACATCCTGGGGGCCGTGGGGGGGGGGGCGGGCATCAGCCTACAGATGTTCAATGCAAATCAGTGGAGATTGGTCTGGAGACATTCTGCCTCAATCAACCCCTTGGGGTTAAAGCCTGGCAAACAATAAGAATTTTTGAAGGTGAGGCTGGAAGCTGTTTTCCTAATTCCCTCCATCCTGTCTGTTTTCTTTTCCATGTACTGATCCTATCCGTTCCCCCAAACAGTCCCGCAGGACAAGCAGATGCTCCCCTCTGACAGATCGGGAAGGGAGGCCTCCCAGAAGTTCCACAGCTTGTTGGAAGGTGGTACGTGAAGTAAGCTGTGGACGTGGAAAGAGAATCATGACTTTCTCACTCCAGAAACAGGACAGAATCCCCCTCCCCATCCCTCCTCCTGGCCCCCTTTTGCCCTCCCTCCCTCCCTCCCTCCCTCCCTCCCTCCTTTCCTTCTTCAATGCCTCTGTCTGTCCATTCACCATTTGCAGGGCCCTTATTCTGGGTCAGAATGATGCTAGACTTTGAAGATAAGGCGTGTCCAGGAAGACACGGGGCTGGGCTCATGGAAACCACAGCCGAAGGCAAGAGAGACACCTGAATAAGCCACTAGGGAAGGTGGCTGTGACGGCTGTGTTCTCGTGTCCTTCTGCAGAAGAAGGGGGTCTACCTGGGTCTGGGGAAGCAGGTGAGGCTTCGGGAAGGAGACGGCATTTGCTCTGAGAGTGAAGGGGAAGTCTCTAGCTTCAGAAGCCCGAGCTCAGAGCCTCACCACAAAAGTTACTTAGCCGAAGAATCTACCTTAACCCCGCGATGAGTCACACGGAACCGGGCGGCTGGTTCATTGGTTTCCTGGGGAGCTCCGATGTTTCTTACTCAGATGTACGTCCTTCTGACCACTCAGCCCATGCGGAGCCCGTGCAGGTCCCTGCCCCAGGCTACCGGGAGCAGGTGGTGTGCCCAGCAGTATGTCCTGGATGTGGGGGCCTCTCTGCCATCACCCTTCAGGAGGCTAGAGGTAATGCCTTTAATGAAAGCATCACAGAGGTTAATTCCAGTCCTCTGAGCGACAGCGGGAGGGGTGGCTCGCCGTTCATGAGGGAGGCCGCCCAGCATTGTGAAGGGACACAGATGAATAAAGCCACTGTTTACAAGAAATTCTAATCTTAGGGCCGTTCAAGGTAAAGACAGACACCAGCCAGGAACAGCCAAGAACAACACCGCCATAACACACGGAGCCGGAGGCCTCCTGCCAGACGGCGTTTTCCCTCCAGATATTGTCGCCAAAAGACCCGCTCAGAAAACCTCTCTGTCCCCTGGGCACCATCCCCCCCCCCCCCCCAGCATATCAGTAATAAGAATAGCAAAAATAATTAGCTGTGATATTGGATCACCTACGAAGGTTCTAGACATTTGTTTATATGATTTCGCTTTAATCCTGGCCCTCCCCGCGCCCTCTGCAAGATCTAAGCAGGTGTTATCACAGTAAAGGAAACAGAGAAGTCGAGAAATTGGTTGAAGTCACACAGTTAATGAGTAACAGAGTTCACTTGGGTCTAAGATGCGAACGTCAGTCTATCTGGTTTTCAGATTCTTAACTTCGTTTTGCCGAGTGAGGAAACTGCTTCTGCAGACTGAGGTTTTACTTCTTTCGGAATCTCCTACATCCCGTCCGATGTGTCTCAAGTATTCGGGGCTGTGAGGATCTTTTAAAAATGTTAAAAGCAAAGCCTGACTTCCCTCCACAAATTATACTGCTGCACATGGAGAGTTTTACGTAAAATTTAAGGGTATTTATAGACTTTTTTTTTTTTTTACAGCTGTCTGTGAACTTCAGGTTAAGACACCCTGATGACATTCTTTTTTTTTTTTTTTTATGAATTGATTTAGGATTATGGTTTCTCAAGCCTCAGATAGTCATCACTCATAGCAGAACTCCGTGAGCTGCCCCTGCCCCTCCCCGACCGTCCATCCACTCCTCCCATTTGCTCTGTTTGCCTCTGCTCTAGGTGGGGCAGGAGAGATTCAGAAGAGGGACAGAACTGGCTGTCCTTGATAGGACTTCAAGGTCACTGGAGCTCCGAGTCTCATTGACAGTTGGGGCATTTCACTTCTTACATCACCTGTGGCTTATCCAAGTGTCCAGAGGTCGGAGGGAGCCCTGTAACTCACACGACCCCTTTGAACTGAGGGGCAGAGACAAAATGACAATTAACTTGTGACTTGTCGAAGTTCCCCAACACACCTTGGTCTTCGTGGCCCCAGGCCTTCAGGCTTATTATCTTTCCCTCTGCTGGGTCATTTGCTCCTCTTCAAGACAAGCTTGGCCTCATCTCCTTTTGGACGCCCTCCCTGGACGTTGCCCACTACGTCCAGATGATTAGTCCTGGAAATAAATGTTTGTCAAACGGCACAATGAATGAATGAAGGCAGCTGGGGGAAGTTCTTTGGAGGCAAATTATGACAGATCTCGCAACTCCCTTAAACCATGTTGATGGATATTAGACCATTGGCGTTTTAGCCTCAATTGTGATATTAGTTGAGGGTTTTGTTTTCCTTTTTGTTTTTGAGCTGGAGTTGTGAGACAGTTTTGGGACTTTCTTTTTGGGTTCCTTGGAGTTTTTCATCAGATAATTACCAGGAAAGGTTTCCTTCCTTCCTTCCTTCCTTCCTTCCTTTCTTCCTTCCTTCCATCCTTCCTTCCTTCCTTTTCTTCTTTCCTTCTTTATATCTTTCCCTCTTTCTTTCTTCTTTCTTTCTTTCTTTCTTTCTTTCTTTCTTTCCTTCTTTCTTTCTAGGGAGGGGGAGGGGCAGAGAGAGAGGAAGACAGAGAACCTCAAGCAGGCTTCACATTCAGCACAGAACCTGACATGGGGCCCAATCCTATGACCCTGGGATCATGCCCTGAGGTGGAATCAGGAGTCCCACACTCAAAGGACAGAGCCGCCCAGGCGCCCTGGAAAGGTGCCCTTTATATCAAATATGACCTTGGAGACATTCTCAAACTCGAACGTCTGTTGAAGACACGAATTTGCCCTGGAGATAACTATGTGTATCTGTGTTCAAAGAAGGATTTGGGGGTCATCTATCTTTGATACTTAAAAGTATCTTACGAATAGTTCCCCAAGCTTGAAGACTCTGGGCTGGACAAGATTCCAGGAGGAATAATCAGAACAACCTATCAGCGATGCTGTATCTGCAGGTTGCCAGAACTGTGGCTGTCTTCAAATATTCAGGCAGGTGCACTGTAGCAACATGGCGGACCTTACATTTCTGGCAATCCCTGACCTCTTTCCAGGGGACCCACAAGGTCAAACTTATTTTCATGATTAGCTGCCATTTGCACTGATGGCGTGAAGGCCTGGGCGGTTAAACTGCGGGTTCTTCGGCATGAATCAAGGCAGTGGCACCAGATTAGAAGAGTGGCCATTACATTTCTCATCATCACACACTCGCAGTAGGACAAAACGGGCAAAAGCTACCAGCTTCGCCCACACGTGTCCTTGGTGAAGCAAGGAAGATCCGTAATCGGACTCCAATCTTTGAGTACACGTCTTAATTCCGTCATGATGAGGGGCATGTGCATCGCCTATTTCAAGCAGCTCCCCTCCGCGAATGCCATTTTTACTTGCAAGAAAAGTCGGTCCGCAATTTTTTTTTTCAGATGTGGGTATTTCAAAAATATTTTCTCAGAAGTGAACTCAGCGAGCCTGTCACTTCGAAGAATACGAGTGGCGTGATCTGTTGTGAATGATAAAATGCAAGCTTTCAAGCAGGAACTCAAGGTTAGAAAACTGGCGTCGGCCGCCATGAGCTCGACTTTTTGTTTAAAATACATGAGGAAACCCAGCTCCACGTGGATATGTAGCTGTAAAGGAGTGTTTCGATAGCCTCTTTGGTTAATTGGATAATTGAGATAATGAATGCTGTAGGAGATAATAATTAGTCTTCTTAGATACTACACTAAAACTTGACATGTAGTAGTTTCTTAAGGGATTGTTGCGATGTAGAATCTGAAGCCATGAATGTGGGGTTTTTTTTCATACTCTATTATGTTACTTTGTTTTTGTTTTAATTTTTTTCACATTTATTTATTTTTGAGAGACAGAGAGAGGCAGAGCATAAGCAGGGGAGGGAGAGAGAGAGAGAGAGAGAGAATCTGAAGCAGGCTCCAGGCTCTGAGCTGTTTGTTAGCACAGAGCCCGATGCGGGGCTTGAACTCACGAACTTCGACAGAGCCTGGAGCCTGCTTCAGATTCTGTGTGTCCCTCTCTCTCTGCCCCTCCTCACTCGCTCTCTCTCTCTCCCACTCTCTCTCTCTCTCTCAAAAATAAACAGTAAACATTGTTTTTAATTTTAAAAATAAATGAATACGGTTATTTTATTAGAATGTTACTTATGTGACTAGTAGCTGGATTATTAGTTATTTGCATGAATTGATACATATTTTTAACCTTCCTAATTTTAATTTCTTCGATTTTTTAAATTTCTTTTTTTAAATTTTAATATGATAAATATTCATAGATATAGCTCATACAACCTAAAGTTCTTGACGACCCCTAACAATTTTAAAGAGTGCAAAAGCATTTTGAGGTCAAAAACAATTGGAAACCACGGCACTGTAACAATCCTTGAGTTTGCAAAAGTATCTTCAGAAGCGATTGTTACTGTTCGGTGAATGGGTAAGTTGGTCCAGTGCCCATAATCCAATACATTTCAGCCCCACTCCTGTGCCGCTAACCCAGGGCCTGAAATCTAGGGGGCTGGTGGTCCTCTATCTACGAGATCTACCAGCTGCCTGAGCAGGGCAGTCTCTTCCTCTCTGTGCCTCAGTGTCCTTATCCACACAATGTTTGATGAGTGGACCAGACTGTCTCTAAGACATCTTCCAACTCTGACATTCGATGAAACTATTTGGAGGAATATTTGAAGGATAATAAAAACAAAAATTGGGTCGTTTTCAAACCATAGTTGACGATTCATTTTCCCATCTGAATTTTTACTTGGTGCTTTTATACACACACTGCAGTAACTGTCATTGAAGATTCTAGAGGCAAATTGCCTGGCACTTAGTCTTCTGCCACTAACTGGCTATGTGAACTTGGATACATTAATTAACCCCTCTATGCCCCATAAAACTGTTGAGTGGATCAAGTGAGTTAGGAGAGGCACAGGGTTTAGAATAAATTCTGGCTTGTGCTACGTGCTCAGTAAATTATTATTAGCACCTGATTCACTGGGTTGTAATTGTGTGTTCATACGATTGTCTCCCTTCCTAGACCCAACTTGCAGACCAGGACCGCACCTGGTTCATCATTACATGTCCAGCCTCTAAAATAGTGCCTGGGACATAATTTGCACTCAATAAATCCTTGGGAAATGGATAAATGACCGATTTGATATTGGCAGGAGATAATCAGTCCCAGATCTCTCTTACTTTGGGTAGAGTATAATTTTCCACGGGATTTGGGTTGACCCATGGGATTACAGAGGTCATAAATGTGCTCGTGTGGTGTGGCCTGTGTGGTATGCTTTGGTTATAATGATGACGATAATAATCCATGAGAACAGCCCCTGGTAACCACTGCTTCCTTAGCCCGGGCCCAGAATGAACCAACTATATAGCAGGCTTTCATCGTGCACCCTAGATACAACCCCAGACAACTATGCTCTGAGGCAGAGAGCTGTCCAACCCCCTCCCCCTGCCCCCCCCCCCCCAACACACATAGAGGATCTCTCCTGGGCAGTGCAGAATTTCTTTTATGGGATCGTGTGTCTTTGGACTGCCACAGTGGTGCTGACAAACTGTGGTACAATTGTCTGTCTAGTAGGGGCCTGCACAAAATACTTGCCTGCTGTCCATATGCCCCAGGGCTGCCCTGCCCTCCCCCCCAAGCCCATCCAAGATCACCTAAGTGGACTCGGGAACAAAAGAATAGAAGGTTAATGACACATGACTGAGATTTGAGGCTGGTATTTATTTATTTATTTATTCATTCATTCGTTTATTCATTTATTTATTTTAATTCACATCCAAGTTAGTTAGCATGTTGTGCAATAATGATTTCAGGAGTAGAATCCAGGGATGCAGTCCCTACATGTAACATTCAACGCTCACCCCGATAACTGTGCACTTTAATGCCCGTTGCCCACGTAGCCCATCCCCCCCCCACCGACAACCCTCCCAGCACCCCTCAGTTTGTTCTCTGTGTTTAAGAGTCTCTTGTGTTTTGTCCCCCTCCCTGTTTTTATGTTATTTTTGCTTTGAGGGTGGTTTTTGGAACAACAATCCACCTGTGCAAATCGACAGGGATATCCCCCAGAATGCACATGGCCGGAAGTAACAGAAAGCCCAACTCTAGCTGTTGTAAATGACAGTGGTACCTACAAAAATGGAGGTAGTAGAGGGACTTCTGGAAAAGTCTGATCCATGAGCTCCACCGTATCCCCAAGGCCTTGTTTCTGTCTATCTATTCACACTGCTTCGTATCATAGCAGCTTCATTGTAACAGTGACCCCTTCACGCTTTCGGGTAAGGTTGGGGGCCGTGGCGACCAAGGCCATGTGCTAATTTCTGTACATCGGCAGAGGCAATGAACGTACCAAAGACTGGGCCACACCTGGCCCTGAACCGATCACTCCCCCATTCTTCATTCTACCTGTGTTCTCTGTTATCACCCATTTAGTAAGTATTTAGTGAGAGCTTTCTCTGCCAGGTGTTCTCCCGCGTGGCGGGAATACAGTCGATACAATTACTGCCCACAGTGGATTGACACGCTCTGGACAGTCTATAGCACTAAAACGCATAGATTAGGTAGCTAGGCAGGTAGATAATTATATATGCAGAAACATAACAATGGTTATCATTTATGGAGACCGGCACCAATCGTTACACTGATGTTCTCAACTTGCATTTTCATTCTATCCTCAACATGTTTCTGTATTCTCGTCCACATTTTAACGTTTATTTATTTTTGGGACAGAGAGAGACAGAGCATGAACGGGGGAGGGGCAGAGAGAGAGGGAGACACAGAATCGGAAACAGGCTCCAGGCTCCGAGCCATCAGCCCAGAGCCCGACGCGGGGCTCGAACTCCCGGACCGCGAGATCTTGACCTGGCTGAAGTCGGACGCTTAACCGACTGCGCCACCCAGGCGCCCCTCTCGTCCACATTATAGCATTATGGAAAATGGGAGAGCAAAGGTGAGTGAGTTACCAGGCTCGCACAGTAAGTCTGGAAGTATAAATTCGTATTTTGTTTTTCTTATTTTCCTGTGTGCACCGCCTCCCATGCAAGGACATAGCCTGTTCCCCTTCAGCCGAACTGTGAGTCACAGGCCAAATGATGTGTCAACATAGAATACACTAACCTTTTATTAATTTCATTATGGGGATTTAGTTAAACCCTTTGGTATACTTT